TTCTCTAGCTCCCTTATCTCCTCCTCCCATGCTCATCTTCAAGACTTCTCCAGGGCGTCACCCCTCCTCTGGAACTCCCTACTCCAATCTATCAGATTATCACCTACTCTACTTGCCTTTCGGTATTCACTGAAAACCTTTCTCTTCAGGGAAGCCTATCCCACCCTCTGCTAATTCTGGTATCCTCTACTCTTCCAACCACTCCATCCCCCACAGTGATTACCTACTGTACCATTCACTCCTCCCTCCTAGATTGTAAGCTCCAAGGAGCAGGAGGGGCCTCTAATCCCTCTTGTATTGAACTGTATTGTTACTGTATTGTCTCCCACTATAATGTACAGCGCTGAGCAAACCGTTGGCACTATATAAATCCTGTATAATAATAATAATAATACACAACCATCCTAATCCCTGATGAAGGGGTAGTTCTGAGCGCCCACAACGTATTGGATTGATCTGCTGAATTTGTAGCAAGAGTAATAAACTTCTGCTGGACTTGTACTAACTTCTGGCCCTCTCAACCTTTTACACTTGCTCAGACTTTTCTAGGAACCCTGCGGGATATCCTACTTCACAGGGAGCTGCCTTCCTTGAACTAGATATCCAATGTGACCTTCCCACTTGGGTCCCACGCTCCTACACCTCTTTTGCAATATAGGTATTGTAAAGGGAAGAAAGCAATAAATCATACAAACTATTTTTTGTATATGATTGCCCTTGGATTGATCTTTCACGCCAGGTGTTTAAGATAATGAGGTTGTCCAACAGAGAACACCACAATTACTTATATAACCTACATGAAAATGGACACTGCCGTTATGTAAGCGTGACTGGATACACCTAGATCGGTGCTGTTTCCACAGCAGTGAAAACAGCTCTGAAATGAACATCCTCCCACAAGTACAGTGGCACTGTGCCTGGGATTTTACGGTGGAATTCGGAGCATGCAAAGAAGTATTTCAGGCGTGGTGCTCCGATCTGGAGGCTAGAAAAGGACAAGCATTGTGTGATCTTACAAGGTTTGCCCAGCTGTGGTCCTGCCAATTCCCTGGAAAGTGGTAACGTCACAGACCCACCATAAAGGGGTTGTTTAAGTACAAATTGGAGAAATGGAAATGTGCTATTGTTGTATGTAGCAATCAGTCGTATAATCTTTCATTTTCTAGCCTGAAGTAGAAGCAGATGCAGTCTCACTGGTTGTTATGAGTAACCCCTTTTTTTCCTCATTTATCTTGCACATCTCAGGAACAAGGCTTGCTATACAATAATTGCAAGACAAGTAATAATTGGAAAAGAATTGGAGGGTGGGTCAACCAAAATCTGGGATTCCAGCTACAGTTTTCACAGGTGGTTTTACTCTTATGTTAGATTGTTTACCCTTAAGTCTAACCCTGGGAAACTGCAAGGATTAAAGTGTTATTTCACCCCGCACCTTGCATTCACTATATCCGGTCTCCCCGGACCCTGCAATCCCCATATCTGGTCTCCCCGGACCCTGCATTCACTATATCCGCTCTCCCCAGACCCTGCATTCACTATATCTGGTCTCCCCAGACCCTGCATTCACTATATCCGCTCTCCCCAGACCCTGCATTCACTATATCTGGTCTCCCCGGACCCGCATTCACTATATCTGGTCTCCCCCGGACCCCGCATTCACTATTTCCAGTCTCCCTGGACCCTGCATTCACTATATCTGGTCTCCCCAGACCCTGCATTCACTATATCTGGTCTCCCCAGACCCTGCATTCACTATATCTGGTCTCCCCGAATCCTGCATTCACTATATCTGGTCTCCCCAGACCCTGCATTCACTATATCTGGTCTCCCACAGTACACAGAACTATTATTTTAGTAAATATAAACTGCTAAATACTCATCAGCAGTATATAGCAGTCTTGTGACTTCTATCTGCTCTCCCCAGACCCCGCATTCACTATATCTGCTCTCCCCAGACCCCGCATTCACTATATCTGGTCTCCCTGGACCCTGCATTCACTATATCTGGTCTCCCTGGACCCTGCATTCACTATATCTGGTCTCCCCAGACCCTGCATTCACTATATCCGCTCTCCCCGGACCCTGCATTTACTATATCTGGTCTCCCCGGACCCCGCATTCACTATATCCGCTCTCCCCGGACCCTGCATTCACTATATCCAGTCTCCCCAGACCCTGCATTCACTATATCCGCTCTCCCCGGACCCTGCATTCACTATATCCGGTCTCCCCGGACCCTGCATTCACTATATCCGGTCTCCCCGGACCCTGCATTCACTATATCCGGTCTCCCCGGACCCTGCATTCACTATATCCGGTCTCCCACAGTACACAGAACAATTAGTTTAGTAAATATAAACTGCTAAATACCTTTTTCTCATCAGCAGTATATAGCAGTCTTGTGACTTCTATCAGTGTCCAGCTGAGTATTGGTTAAAGCTTGTAAGGGGAGAATTAATTCTTGAACTAGTACAAAGATCTCAAGTTCTGACATATTGGCTATTTCATGTCAATAACTTAAAAAGCACTGGAAACCGGGATCAACAAAACTGCCAGTGTAATGCAGTCAGTGATGACAGGTTCTCTTTTATATGCATTTTTTACAAAGTGTTTGCACCACAAATGCAGGCACAGCGTAGGTAAACACATTTCATTTAGTACAGTAGCGCAGGTACAGCACAGCACATAATGTTCATGTAACTGAGGCAATATTGGCTCACCTCATATCACATGAACCATAGATGTCACCTATGCGTGATAGGAGGTCTACGTGGCAAGGCTCAGCGCTTTTCCCAAACACTCAAGGAGCTCTTTATGGTTGGTGAATGTGGATCCAGCAAGGATTGGGGAGGGCCTAACCTTTCTTGTGCCTTCTCCATAGAAAGTGAAATGTCACCACAATTACTCAGAGTGACAGGAATTGCTGTCACGTTTCTGCTGCAGTTCTCACGGCACAGAAAACCACCAATTGATATAATGACAATAAGATAAAGTGTACTGCTTATAAAAAAAACAAAAACAAAATAATCCTCGGCATATAGCTGCAGGCTATGATTTTCAGGGACTTTACTGGGGTCAGAAGAGGGGAGGAAAAGTTGAATGATTGCTGTGGATTACTGTACATAGTTAGAACCTGTAATTTGTATATACACCGATCAGCCATAACTTTATGACCATCCATCTAGAATTGACTAGGTCCCTCTTTGCCACCAAAACCCCGTTGACTCAGTTTTGCTCGTGTCATGTCTGCTGAACGGGCGGATGACATGTCCGTGTTGCTTTGTTGGTGGTCGGGTGTGTAAACGAACCAGCTATCCATCCAACTGCGCTCCGATCCAACCTGTCTAGATGGAGGGGAATGGACCCCATTCCTTTTTTTTTTTTTTTTTTTTTTTTTCCTTTTAGTGGATTGGATTGAAGTTAGGCAGGTGTGAACAAATAGAAGTCTCCCGCCGCTCCATAGAGGTGAATGGCAGGTCCAATCGGGTACGACTGAAAGAGACAGGTGAACCCCATGAGACCAATCGTGTAAAAGGGGGAAAGTTATAAGATGAGGCCTCCATGGATTGGGAGTGTTTTTACAGCACATCCCACAGATGCTCGATAGATTGAGATCTGGAGAATTTGCAGGCTAGGTCAACCCCTTAAACTCTGTTATTTTCCTCAAACCATTCTTGCAATGTGGCAGGGTGAATTATTCGGCTGTAAAGAAATGGCAAACCCAAATGCTCCTGCGCTTAGGGATGGACTCTATATGGATGGGACCACATCACGAATATCTTGGGATATGCACGCCTTGCTGCTGCTCTCAAATGACCAGGGAAGTCCTAGTATACTGAGTAGAGAAAAACAAAAAGAGGGCGCACCAGCCTAGTGCATTATCTTAAAAAATGTGTTTTTATTAAATAATAAAAGTAGGTATTGTACTCACAAAATGACAATACAGTCAAAGGTACATCTTGTAGGAACAGCTCAGTCCAATCCACACTACGCGGCTCTGAGGAAGAGGCAAGTCTTCGAAGCGCGTCAGACTGTTGAAGGTCTAGAGTTCCCATTATGGACGCACACGTAATTGGACTGAGCTGTTCCTACAAGATGTACCTTTGACTGTATTGTCATTTTGTAAGTACAATACCTACTTTTATTATTTAATAAACACATTTTTATAAGATAATGAACTAGGCCGGTGCACCCTCTTTTTGCATCATTCTGCTGAAGGAGGCCACTGCTATCAGGAAATCTGTTTCCATGAAGGGGTGTACTTGGTCAGCAATAATGTTTAGGTAGGTGGTACATGTCAAGTAACATCCACATGAATAGCAGGGCTCAACGTTTCCCAGCAGAACATTGCCCAAACCATCACACTGCCTCTATTAGCCATTTCCCATACTGCAGCCTGGTGCCATCTCTTCTCCAGGTAAGTGACGCACATCATTCATCAGACAGGCCACCTTCTTCCATTCCTCCAAGGTCCAGTTCTGATGCTCATGCGCCCTTGCTGTCTAATATATCCCACTGACTTTCAGATGCCATGTGTGACAAGATAATCAATGTTATTCAATGAACCTTTTGGTAGTTATAAAGCTATGGCTGATCAGTGTAAATGGCCATGTTACATAATCTTCTACAATTTAATTAAAATTTTCCTCTGAAGATGATTAAAACTTTTGACCGTGTCTACTTTATTCTGAGTGCCAAGTATACAGTATGTGCTGACCTTTACATTTTAAATACTCCTCCAACACATTTCCATGTCTGAACCAGGAAAAAGTTAAAGCTTTTCTAAATAGTACCCTAACCGTTATGTCATCAACGTGGTATAGTGGAGAAGAGAGGGCACAAGCACATGGTTTCAAGGGTGCTTGAGAGATGGTCATTTGTAGCTTGGTTGCCCTTCCATTGGTATGACAGTTGGCTGTATTTACTTGGCTCTCTTTGCCTTTTATTTAAAAGGGTATTATTTTCTAACATTTTGTGTGCCTTTCTTTTATCCTTTACAGTCTGTGGCTGCATTTGCTGTATCAGCTGTAGCATCTCAATGGGAGAGGACTGGCAAACCATTCAACCCTCTTCTGGGAGAGACATATGAACTAATAAGGTAAGTCCTGTCCATTTTGAGGGGGGGGGGGACTGACTCAGACTCTTCCATGATATACTATCTCTTACAGGGAAGACCTGGGCTTCCGGTTCATATCTGAGCAAGTCAGCCATCACCCTCCTGTTAGTGCCTTCTATGCCGAAGGCCTGAATAAAGACTTTATCTTTCATGGTTCTATCTATCCAAAGCTGAAGTTCTGGGGCAAGAGAGCGTAGAGGCCGAACCCCGCGGAGCCATCACCCTGGAGCTGCTCAAGTAAGTTTGAATGAATGTGAGGAGACCTTTATTAAAGGGGCACTAAACTTACAAGATTCAGTATATAAAAAAAGATCAATGGTTAAATATCTGAAACTTTCAGGAAATAAAGGATATGTAAAATGAAAGTAGTATAAGGGGAAAGACCACATAAATGATTCAGCTGCCCTCCTGTCAAGTAATCGAATAGAAAAAAAAACAGACTGTCATCTTGGTCGTGGTTCCTTTTCCCAGACATGGCAACTGAAATTATAACATGCCCATAGTAAGTTTATACAAGTTTGTTTACAAGACTTTATTATTATATTATTATACAGTATTTATATAGTGCCAAAGAGTATGCTCAGTGCTGTACAGTAGCAAGGTTGACAGAACATGAGACAAGACAGAAACAATACACTACGCGAGGGGTTCAAAGGCCCTGCTCTTTCGAGCTTACAATCTAGGAGGGAGGGGAAGGTGGCACAGGAGGAGATGGCTGTGGGGGATGGAGTGGTGGGTGGAGTGGAGGAGGTTAGTTGTTAGTGAGGTCGGGTGAGGTGAGGTTGGGGTAGGCTTCCCTGAAGAGAAGGGTTTTCAGGGTGCGCCTGAAGGTGAGGAGGGTAGGTGACATTCTGATGGATTGGGGTAGGGAGTTCCAGAGGATGGGGGAAGTCCTGGAGAAGTCCTGCAATCGGGCGTGGGAGGAGGAGACCAGGGAGCTAGAGAGCAGGAGATCCTGTGAGGAGCGGAGGGCAAGGGTAGGGTAGTATTTGGGTATCAGGTCAGTTATGTAGTTCGGGGGCGGCATTGTGAATGGCCTTGTAGGTCAGGGTTAGCAGCTTGAACTTGATGCGTTGGGAAATTGGGAGCCAATGAAGGGATTGGCAGAGGGGGGGAGGCAGATGTGGAGCGCTTGGTGAGGTGGATGAGTCTGGCCGCTGAGTTTAGGATCGACTGGAGTGGGGATAGCGTTCGTTTGGGTAGGCCGGTGAGAAGGGAGACTTGTATGTTTTCTTGTAGCTTCATATCATAGTGTACCTTTTTTTGGTTTTAGGTTTAGTATATTGGTCCATTACAGTAGCTAAAGCATGTTTCATAGGTTTTACTTTGAGTGGTGTCAATTATTTGCAGTCATTTAATATTATGCTAGTGCTAATTGAAGTCACTCAAGTTAATATTTGAGGAAAGTAGGCCCACCAGAAGTGGCGTTGATTGGCCAGTATCACAAATCCAGATTGCGATTTCAGTACACAAGGGAGTCAATGTGGCTTCTGTTTCTAAAGGAACATTTTTATCTAGATATGTTCAATGAATATACATATATACAGTAGAGTATATACATATACACACATAGAGTAGCCAGTGACAATACTACATTCACAACCACACTGGATAGAAGCATAAAGAAATGAGAGGAGTTCTGGCATAGGGCAGGTCCTTGTATAGCTAAATCAGAATGCACGTGGAGTAACACAGCTTGACTAATGTGAGACAATGGCATTGCTTTATCTATAGAAGTATTTCACACAGTGTTTGTGACCTGAGGAATGTTCATTATTAGAAGAGAAGTATGGGATTTTTTTTTTTATTTAAATCATACTTATCTAGGTGGATGCAGCACCTGTCCCCTGCTGGCTCTAAGGGCTCGGTCACACTAATTTCTGACTCTTGCCAAACGCCCCTATAGCGTTTGTCAGGCGTTTGTGAAGTGTTTTTAACACTCCTCAAACGCTCCCCAAATGCCCTATACGCGTTTTTTAAGGCATTTTCCAAGTGTTAAAACCGCATCACAAACGCCTCTAATGAAGTTTAATGGTGTTAACGCTCCGCAAACACCTGCCAGGCGTTTGAGGACCATCACCATAGACTTGAATGGGAGGCTTCAACTCCTCCTGACTTGACATGATGCATAAATTTTGCCACAATGCTAACGTTTCAGTGTGAACAGCACTGTGTGCTACCATGTGCAGAATTTTCATAGGCGTTTGAGGAGCATTAAAAACGTTCCCCTAATGCCTGCTAACAAAGCTAGTGAGAACTTAGCCTAAGGCTGAGAACTCAGCGATCAAACATCGCTGATCGCTCAGTTCTCCCCACCGCTCTGAGCAGAGAGTGATGATGGTCAGTCACCACTGTCTGCTCTGACCCTGCCCCCCCCCCAGCTCACTCGTGCGCCAGACCTGTGGAGGGAGCAATAGCGGCTGGCTCAGGCTCTTAGCGACTCGCCAGTCCAGGCCCCTGGGTGGATCCATACCATATGGTCATGATCTTTCCCCAGCCTGAACCCACTCTGTGATGTTAGCCGACCAGCAGAAAGCTGGTCATAGGAGTGTAGAACGATCCGCAGGGGAAGTACAGCCAAACAAGCTTTGGCTGTACTTCTCCTTTAAAGCTGAACTTCAGACCCCCAACCAGTCATACTCAATAACCACAAAGGATGAAAATACACTTTATCCCGTTATCTTTCATGAGGAAAGAGCAGCAATGAGCGGTCCTTATTACAGGAAGATCCCGCACAGAGGGAAAGTTTCGTACTGGTTTACTGCGCACAGATCTAGAAAAAAATACGCGAAGCACACCAAGATTGAAGTAGGCGTACTCATGACTGCTGTTTTTGGATTGTATTTGTTAATCCTGGAGTCCAGCACGATGAATTATCACTGTTATCACTATGTTGTCCATCATCAAGCGATAATATACAAAACGTGTATAAAGAATCTTATATATTCAGATATTTGTGTGTCTATACGCTTTCACTTAGAGAAGAATTTTAAGCAATTTTATGTATGATATGTTATGGAGAGAGCATGGGAGCAGATCCACCTAGAGGTAGCACATTTCCAGGCCATATCTCCATTCTTCTAAAGCAGACTTGCCTTCTAGACTGTTCATTGCTCCTTTCTAAAACCGTACCGGCTTTGGATGATCAAACATATACTCATGCTTTAGTCTCCTCATTGTCCCTCCTAACATCTCGTTATTCCTCTGCAGGCACAAAGATATCTATACATGGACAAACCCCACCTGCTGTGTACACAATGTTATTATCGGGAAGCTGTGGATAGAGCAGTATGGGACAGTGGAAATTGTAAATCACAGGTAACATAACATAACACCCTGAACCCCCCCCCCCCCCCCCCCTTGTCATGGAATGCTTCTCATGAATTACTTGAAGTAAACAATAGAAATCCCCACTGTAGTACTGGTCTCTTTGTGACATGTGAAAGGAAACTGCATATGCTGTGCCATAGTGCTCTGGGAATTTTTTCCATGGGTGTAACCTGTATTTGTAAAATATAAATTCTCTATAAATAGTAAAGAAAAACAGATATAAAAACCTGCTTACAAAGCTAAAAGATTAATAAAACAATACCAAACCCGTTATAGATTCTTTTTAAGTATTGAGTTTCAGTGTGAGCCATTCTGTATCTGTGCTCTTCCCTACCAATAAACCACTGAGACACACAAAAGGGTATAGCTAATTTTGCATTCATTTTTCCCAATGTGTGGGGATCCCATAATCCATGATTATTTTCAGGGTGAGGGTTATACTATTGGTGAGATGACTTTGTTGTGTTTTATGTCCACCTAAGAGGAAACTAAGGCCTAACTAGATTCTCGTTTAATCAGGTGTGTTTTTGTATGTTTTATTCCAGCACTGGAGATAAATGTATCCTGAACTTCAAGCCCTGCGGCCTGTTTGGAAAGGAGCTTCACCGAGTAGAAGGACATATTCAAGACAAGAAGTAAGTACTCCTAGTGATTTGTGTTCCCTTGTCTCTTCTGAGAATTGTGAGACTTAACCTGGCCATACACTAGAAAATTTTTAATTCCAACATTCGTACAATATTTCCCAGAACATTTAATGACTTGACAAAGTTCGTTCAAAAGTTTTCATTTGCTTTTAACCTTTGAATTTGGAATGAATGGACTTTCCCGAAAAAAATCACATACACTATCAGAAATTTCTTAGAGAAAAAAAATGTATATTTTACTTTTTTTGTTACCACAGTCCAAAGCAAATTTTCCACCAGTGAAGATTAGAAAATCAAAAAGTTATTAAAGTGATTCTGAATGCTTTTTTTAAAATAACAAATTGTATATTTGCCTGCACTGTGCAATGGTTTTTGCACAGAGCAGACCTTATCCTCCTGTTCTGGGGTCCCACACCGGTGTGCTCCTGGTCCTTCCCCCCCCCCCCCCCCCCCCCCTGTCAAGTGCCCCCCATAGCAAGCCAATTGCTCTGGGTGCACTCATGCTTTCTAGATGCTGAGCTGGCTCTGTTTCCTTTGACACAGAGAGCATGACTTTGCTTCGCCCCTGTTTTCTTCTCATTGGCTGTGATTGACATCAGCAAAAGCCAATGGCTCCCACTGCTGCCTCTGTTTAGTGAGGAGAGAAAGAGATTCTGCTCTCATGCACATCACTGAATCAAGATTGGCTTTAGGTATTTGGGGGGCTGTAGGGAGCACAAGTTTTTTTTTTTTTTTTTACCTTCTAAAGTCTTCTTCTTCTTTTAGGGTAAAAAACCTTCTACCTTTAGAAACACTTTTAAAAAATTTTGAACAAAATTCTACTAGTGTATGGTGCTTACTAGCTTAATGGTGCCGGTAAACTGGAAATGATGGACTTTGAGAGGTTTGTCTATCCCCTTATATGTCTCTCACTCCTGGGACCAACTATGACTTTTGTCTGACACATTAATATGGTCAACCTGTTATCTGTGGAGAAAGGGGAACTTTTACTGACGAATAACAGAGATTGTCCAAAAAAGCACTCCCGATATCTGTGACTGCTCCTCTTATACAGTTGTCACAGATGTCCCCATGTGAAGATTTCCCTTCCCCTGTGAAATCTTCAAAATTTTTGTTTAACCATGACTTCCTGTCTCAGGACATTGGGCACTCGACAAATCGAGAATAAATCTCCCCAGTGGGGACACAGAGAGCAATAAAAACCTTACAGGGTTCCTCAATCTTTTCAACACCCCCACTAATCATCGCAGCCAGTTTTTCGATGTATTTGTTTTCTGCATCTTTTCAAACATGTTAGTGAAAGCAAGGCTGGCATGGACTCATCCAGGGCTAGCGACCAGCATAACATTTCTTTTTTCATTTTATTACAAAGGTGTACTGATCCAAGTGTCTCGTATTTCATCTAGTGCCTAAGCCACTCACCAATTGTTCTAGATGGTTTTTTTTTTTTTTGTTTTTATGATATTGCAAGGGGGGAGATGTGAAATGTGAACTCCATTATTAGATCCTGCCCAATCTGTCTTATTAATAGTCTGCAGCACGACAAGCTGGCCCTGAGCACTCATCATTCACCCACACAACAGACGTGTTCTGTCAACATCCAGTTGATGGACAGTACATGTGGCCTTGACTTCTTACTACAGAAAGCCTTCTGGAAGGGATAGATGAGATCCCTTTCTGTCATAGCCCAGAGCTCCCTTGTTTATGTTAATGAAGAGTCAAGGCTCTACTGACACTCAGAACAACTGTAGCCCGGATCAATTCTATTGCTGAAGCTCAGACTGGGCACTTCAGTGCTTTTATTTTTTTTTTGAACACTTTAATAAACTTGGAGCAGACTGACTCTCTGTTTTATAGTGAGAGCAGAATAGACAGATAAGCCATAACATTATGACCACCCACCTAATTTGAGTACGTCCACCAAAAGCAGTCCTGATCCGTTGAGGCATGGACTCCTCTAGACCTCTGAAGGTGTCTGGCACCAAGCCATCATTAGCAGATCCTTTAAGTCCTGTAAATTGTGAGGTGCAGCCTCCATGGATTGGACTTGTTTTTGCAAAACATCCCACAGATGCTTGATTTGATTGAGATGCAGAATTTGGAGGCCAAGTCAATACCTCAAACTAGTTGTGTTCCTCAAATTATTCTGGGACTGATTTTGCAGTGTGGCAGGGTGCATTATCCTGCTTAAACTGGTCACTGCCATCAGGGAATAACATTTCCATGAAGGGGTGTACTTGGTCAGCAATAATGTTTAGGTAGGTATTACATGTCAAGTAACATCCATATGAATGGCAAGGCCCAAGGTGTCCTAGTAGAACATTGCCCAAAATATCACACTTCCTCCACTGGCTTGCCTTCTTCCCATACTGCATCCTGGTGCCATCTCATCCCCAGGTAAGCAATGCGCACACATCTGGCCATCCACATGAAAAGAAAATGTGATTCATCAGACCAGGCTACCTTCTTCCATTACTCTGTGGCCCAGTTCTGATGCTCACATGCCCATTGCAAGCACTTTTGGCTGTGGACATGGATCAGCATGGGCACCCTGTAAGGTCTGCGGCAATGCAGCCCAGATCACAACAAACTGCAATGCCCATTTTCTGCTTTCAGCACATTAACTTCAGGGACAATATATGTACTTGCTGCCTAATATATCCCACCGACTCTCAGATGCCATTGTAACAAGATAACCGATGTTATTCATTTAATCTGACAGTGGTCATAAAGTTATAGCTGATTAGTGTATTTATCCAATGCAAGGGGAAGGTGCAAGTGAAACTGAAGTGTGAGTGTAATGCAATCCAGCAAATACTGCATCTGTGCTTGGTCAGAAAGTCCAGTCAGTTTATTATTTATGTGATTTCATAATGTGGATATAATGCACTTCAGACAGATTTCACACTACTCTTCCCCAGTGCAGTGGGTAGGTCTGCTTCCTAATCTCTGTGCTTTGTAACTTTCCCTCTCGGATTATTTTCTTTACCTGATCATTAATTTCACTGTGTTATACAGCATGGATCATAGTCAGTGGCGTCCCTAAGCGGGTGCGGGGGGTGCGCCCCACACCGGGTGACACCGGACCCTCTCCACGAGCTCCACAAAAAGGAAAGTTTTAAAGCAAGCTGACGATCCCCGCAAGATGGATTGGATCTGCGAATTGAGCATAATGGATCAGAGTCCAATCCATTATGCTCCCCAATCCGCAGATCCGATCCATCTTGCGGGGGTTGTCGGCTTGCAACCTATACAGAGTTAACTGATCTAGGTAAGGCTGTGCAAGATTCGGGACTTGTCTGTCACCAGAAAATACGGCTGGGATAGCAGGAACCTCCTCCATCTGACATCACTTCTCGAGCATGTGCATACCGGACCGCTGTTGAAAGATCAGTTAACCCCGTATAGGTTGCAATCTGACGATCCCCGCAAGATGGATCGGATCTGCAGATTGGGGAACAAAATAGTTCGGACTCCGATCCATTATGCTCAATCCTCAGATCCCGTTCATCCTGCGGGGATCGTCGGAGGGGTGACACCAAGTGTTACACCAACCGTAGGGACGCCCCTGATCATAGCAATTGTTTACTCTTCGTATCCACTGCTAATTTATGATGGTGTTGCTCTTTCATAGCAAAAAGAAACTGTGTATGATTTATGGCAAGTGGACGGAGTGCTTATGGAGTATAGATCCTTCTACATATGAGGCTTACAAGAAATCAGAAAAGAAAGGAGGTGAACCGAAGAAATATAAACAGGTGAGAGGTCTAAGTAACACTTAACCTGTTGTCGTCACCAAGACTGAAAATTGAAGACCACCTAAACTCCTTCCAAAGGCAGAGCAACTAGCCTCATAGACTCCTCCTCTGAACTTAATTCCAGAACACACAAACTTACTCAGAAAGCAGACATGAGAGAAATACTAGACACATCCCTTAGATACATGGCCACAAGATAGATCCCATGGACTGAGAAGGCGGGACAAGACAACCAAGACTCCTTTCAGGGCTTGGGAAGTGATAGATTAAAGGATAAATTCACCTTTGGGAACATGTCACGTGTTCCACCTGTTTTTATGGTGGAACATGTAACATGTTCCCGTTCCTGCAGCTCTTCCCCTGATCCCCCCCCCCCTTCCTGTGACAGCAGGCTGGCGATCTTCTCCTTACGCGCTGTCAGAATTTGAAAAGATTACTGCCGTGCAGGGCTCCACCTACACAGCTACGTCATTCATCAACAGAATTTTGTAAATAAATGCCTACAAGTACCCACAGCCTTTGCTGCTGACGGCTTGTAATTCTAAATGAAATGTGAGGGCACTGGTGAGCGCTCTCGTAGTCCATTGAGCTTCCTAGACTGAAGTAACTGCCTGCCCATATCAAAGGTACGGGCTGACAGCTACACTGACAGTCTGCAGGAGCCTGATGTACCCGCATTATGCTGATCGCACGTGTAGTGCTCTGCAGGCTCCTAAGAAGAAAAAAATAGTAAATTCATATTTTTTTTACCTGGAAAAAAATGTGCATTTATTATTTTTTTTTAAAAAAGGTGAGCTTATTCGTTAACTAGATTCTGAGAAGGAGGCTAGACTAATGAGACTCGTTCTTGTGTCCAAGAACTGAGAACATGACTTATTTGGAGGCTATGAATGTAAGACTTGACAACTGAGCTTCATACCTATGGCTGGCAAGTAAAGAATAGACTCACACTGAGAACAAAACATTTGATTTACACCATTTAGATTCATTTCCAAGCTTGAGATATAAGGGCTAGACCATCTAGACAGCTCTACAGGGATAACAAGGGGAGACTAGACCTTTGAGACTCATTGTCAAGACAAGTATCTTAAACTGGACCAGCTAGAGTCATTGCAGGGGTTGTGAAGCAATAGGAAGATCACATAGAATCAATCACTATGAAGTGAAGAATCGTTCATATAGACTACTGGGGGCTGAGAAATGGGTAAAAGATTTGGTGAAGTCACTGCTAAAAGTTTGAAAGGTCAAACTCTAGACCAGTTAAACTCATTCCAAGGGGTGTGGAATACAGGACTTAGATTCTCGGGGCTTAGAAATGAGGTTATGCTACTTAAAACCCAGCTCCAAGCTCCATGCCCATCCTCCTCATGGCCCCTGCTGACCGTATTTTTCTTTACGTTGCCAAGTCTTGTGATGTCACAAGGTCCTCTTCAGCTTTGCCTATTCTCTAGGCTGGGTGGTCCCTACTGATGTAGAGGGTGGCACTGATGGGATGACTTCAATGCCACTCTCTGCTCAGTACACTGTGAATAAAGGGTGGTGTAGTGCCATCACGCTGGAAGACTGTGGACATCTTGTGATACTTTGGGGGGACAGCTCTGAATTAAAGAGGAGTATTGCAGCCTGAGCTTCTTTGGGACCTTTATAATGAAAGTTTAGCCCAGAATTGGGTTTTAAGCTCACCTCCAGGATTTAGATGTGAGGAATGAACTACCTAAAGATATCTTCAAGGCAGTAAAGTAAGGAAAAGATTATTCACTTTCTCTCACACCTCATTGCAGAATGAAGAAACTCTGAATCCAGACAGTGACGAATCCGATGATATGCCAGAAATCCAGGAGACTGTGCAGGTCATACCTGGCAGTACCCTTCTATGGAGGATCAATAGTCGACCTTCAAACTCACCTCAGGTGAGCACAGAACCTTTGTTTGATTTTTCTTTCATAATATTCTTTTATCATTTCTAGTTTCTCATAAGTATAACTCTTCCTGACCTGTACTGAATAACAAATCCAGACTTGGTAAACAATATGAGGTTCATTTACTAAAGACAATTAGATTATGCACTTTGCAAGTGCCTTTGCACTCTGCAAGGGCATTTGCTCCAAAGCTTAGTAAATGAGGGAATCTCTGATGACTTCCAATCTCCAATCATATGTAAGCAAAAATGCTTTTTTTTCTATTTTCTTTGCATGTTATTGGGTATTCTTTGCATGTTATTGAGTTTTCTTTGCATGTTATTTTGTATTTCTTGCATGTTATTAGGTATTCTTTGCATGTTATTAGGTATTTTTTGCATGTTATTGGGTATTCTCTGCATGTTATTGGGTATTCTTTGCATGTTATTGAGTTTTCTTTGCATGTTATTGGGTATTTTTTTGCATGTTATTTGGTATTCTTTGCATGTTATTGGGTATTCTTTGCATGTTATTGGGTATTCTTTGCATGTTATTGGGTATTCTTTGCATGTTATTGGGTATTCTTTGCATGTTATTGGGTATTCTCTGCATGTTATTGGGTATTCTTTGCATGTTATTGGGTATTCTCTGCATGTTATTGGGTATTCTCTGCATGTTATTGGGTATTCTCTGCATGTTATTGGGTATTCTTTGCATGTTATTGGGTATTCTCTGCATCTTATTGGGTATTCTCTGCATCTTATTGGGTATTCTCTGCATCTTATTGGGTATTCTCTGCATGTTATTGGGTATTCTCTGCATGTTATTGGGTATTCTTTGCATGTTATTGGGTATTCTTTGCATGTTATTGGGTATTCTTTGCAAAGTGAATTTTCACCTCATTTACTAATCTCTGGAGCAAACGCCCTTGCAGAGCGCAACTACACTTACAAAGCGTAGTCTGTTTGCCTTTTGTAAATCAACCCTTGTGTTTTTTTCTGCTGTGATTCAAATGATTTATATACAGGTCTACATCTTCTAACATTCTGATTTTTTTTTTTCCTCCCAAGATGTACAATTTTACCCATTTCGCCGTGGCTCTTAATGAATTAGACAAAGACATGGTGGCAGTATTGGCTCCCACGGACTGCCGGCTAAGACCCGACATCAGATCCATGGAAAACGGGGATCTAGGTAAGTGTCTGGGTGGGTCACTTCTCTCATTTCCACTGGCATGATGCTGTAAATATTGTATTGGTTTATGCTGCAGATAGCATGGGGTTAATTGTTTTTGTATATGAATGTTTTTTTTTTTTTTTTACAGATCAGGCTAGTAAAGAGAAGGAAAGGTTAGAAGAGAAACAGAGGGCTTCCAGGAGGGAACGAGCCAAAACAAATGAAGAATGGAGCACAAGGTATTGCATTTACAAATACATGTTGTGATTTCTGACTGGAGGGCAATAAGACTTGGAGTGACCCTGCAACCCGTAGATTTTAGGATTTCTTAAACCCCACGATCCTCGCTTCTCTACACTTAGCTATTTCTGATAACCTCAGTCAGAATCAGGTTTTGCTTTAAAGCCTGTGTAGTGCTGACATGAAATGAACATAAAAACACAATAGCTGTTCAGGCATGTCTGATTTTGTGTGGCTACTCATGGCCTTCTCTCCTCTGTTCTTGCAGCTCAGGGTCACTAAAGAGTTTTAACTGAATGAGGCTCCAGCTTGGTTTGTTTTTTTGTTTTTTTTTTGGGCTGGGTTTTTTTATGTAATTTCACAGTTAGTGGGGCAGAGAATAATTCCTTGCTTCCTCACTAAAGAACAGAATTAGAATTTGCAAATTGCTGCAGTTTGAATCCAATCGCTCAAAGGCTAAGTAATAATATGAATCCTGTTTTAATAAATAGTATTTCTAAAGTAATTGTTTCCAGTCAGCCAGCTAGAGAATTAACTTTCAAGTGGTTCTAAAGCCTTAAAACGGAGTTCCACCCAAAAGGGGAAGTTCCGCTTTAAAGATTGCTCCCCATTAAGGATTGTCACCTTTGGGGAGCGGGGGGGAACGGGTACCTGAATTTGACAGGTTCCCACTTCCGCTGCGAACGCCTAGGTTATCGGAAACGGAAGTTGTCCTCCTACCCTCCCTCCCCGTAGTCTTGTGGGACATGTGACAGGTCCCAGAAGACGACGGGGCCATTCAGGAAGCGCAGCGCTACTCACGCATGCGCAGTGGGAACCCGGCTGTGAAGTCGCAAGGTGTCACAGCCGGGTGCCCAAACTGAAGATGCCAGCCTGGAGCTTGGGCATGGAGCATGGAGCTTGGAGCTGGGTTTTAAGTAGCATAACCTCATTTCTAAGCCCTGAGAATCTACGTTCTGTATTCCACACCCCTTGGAACGAGTTTAACTGGTCTAGAGTTGACCTTTTTAAGCTTTTAGCAGTGACTTCACCAAATCTTTTACCCATTTCTCAGCCCCCAGTAGTCTATATGAACTATTCTTCACTGCTGACTTTTATTTTTTTTTCAGTGTGAGTGGAACTCTGCTTTAAGGTTTTTCATCTTAATGCATTCTATGCATTAAAGTTGCTGAAGTTTGGAGGAGGAGGAGGCGGCGAGCAGCATTTGTGTCTCTGTCTAAGATAAGATTGCTTTGAAGGGGATTTATTTCTGTATCGCCACAGTTATCCTGTCCTAGTCTCCTCTTGTCCTGTATGTTGATCTCTGCCTTCCGTCCTGTACAGATGCACATGTAACCCGCTTCCTCTCTCTTCCAGGTGGTTTACACAGGGGACTAATGCGCACACTAAGACCGCGGACTGGATCTACACGGGAGGATACTTTGATAGAAAGTTTACGGACTGTCCCGACATTTATTGACACCCTCTTCTTTCCTTCTCCCCTCCTCCCTCCCTCCCTGGACTCCTCATATCTGACCTAGACACCATGTCGCCATTTGCACCGGAGCTGCGGCTCGCTAACTGTGTCTGTGGGGAGCGGGTGTACATTTAGATATATTTATAGATGTATATGCACCTCCTTATTTTTTTTTTTTTTTTTCTTTTGAAAACATTTTAGGAAACGTTATTGTTCAGCAATCAGGGAATTAATTATATAACTATTTTTGGTTGCCAAAAAAAATAAAATGAAAGCATGGGTTTGTATATGCCAGCGTACATATCTGTGTATAGGGGCGCACAGGTTTTGAATTGTAGCCAGCAGTGCGGGAACCTTTAACCATTTCTTTGCAGTTTTTTGTTTTGTTTTTTTAATGCTAATTGTAATTTTAGGACATGTTTTAAGTGCCTGTCTGTCACCTTGTCCTTCTTGGGTGGTAACTTCAGCTGTTGGGGTGAAGCCTCATAACTAACTTTCCAAAGCTGACATTTTCATTTTGAATGGATGTGATTGTGTTGAATTGACCATTGGCTTCTTTCACCTCTTTGAGTCTAGAGGTGGGGTCTCGGCACACAGGTTCTCAGCTCCACCCACTGTCACAATCATTTCCTTGGGGGTCTCACTCTCATAGCTAGATCCTCCAAGAATGCAGCTGAAAGAAGGGGACGCCGTGGCCATGCTGGGAGGCTCAACTGGAAACTCCAAATGAAATATTGCATTGCTATGAGAGAGTAGTACAGTACTTTGACCCACCAATATCAACCCGTATGTAAAATCAGTTTTGAGTAGGGTTTGCTAAGTAAGGGCTTTGCTATACAATTGATTTTTGGTGGTACTGTTACAAATGATGTAAAGATATCTGCACACAGAGAATGGGGTTGCTGCTACCGACTTCATCTTCTAAAAAATGCTAATTGCTGCAACTGGAAACAAGCATACAGATCAGGTGTTCAGATATCACTGGCTGCATATTTGTTCCGGAAACTTTACAGCATAACCCCAGCTAAATACTCAGTTGCAATACATCTATTTCAACTATTACGCCTTCCACTTGGTCACTTGTTGGCCACTGCCACACTGCATGTGCAGGATAGTGACGTCACTCCTGCAGATTTCTGTGCCTGCTGCCCGTTTATTCCATCGATAAAAATCCTCTTCACGCTGCTTATGTCCTCTCAGGACTCTCCTCTCCTGTAAGCTTGCCAAAATGCCTCCCCCCCCCTTGGGCGGACTGACCACTTGGAAACTGGGGCACTGCCCGAGGGCCCGGGGTCAGTAGGGGGCCCCATGAGATGCCCCTGGTACCCTTTTTCATAGGCTTTTTTGAGTTTGGGCAAGGACACAGGGCCCCATAATCCCCTATTGACTGGGGGCCCCATGAGTTGTCAGTCCGCCCCTGCTCCCCCCAGTGCCTGAAATATGTTGGATTGACAGCGCTGGCAATGCAGTAAGGCCTAATTGGTATGCAGTGCAGATCCTCCTAGCCTGAATCCTGCTGTGCAGGGGATTGTGAGAGGATAATAGGAGTAAGATTTTAGGCCATTGCAGTATCTTAAGATACATTTCATTTTTTAAGGATTGCTTATGTGTGTGTGTTGTATGTTTGTATGTTTGTATGTATGTATGTGTGTGTTTGTATGTATGTATATTTGCCTGAAGTTTCACTTTATTGTTTGGGTTAACTTGCACAAAATTAGGAAGGATTAGGACCCTTTAACATTGAAACTCTAGCCATTTTTTTTCTGGTTTTGGGTAAACTGAGGAAGGGTTGCAATATCTGTCTGTTTTTTATTGCTTTAGTGTGTCAGTGTGGTGAGGACAGAAAGTGGGGGGAAATTCAAGCCTTTACAGTTGTCACCAGAATTGGTGCCATCTGTTAAAGGTGGTATTTTCCCTGACTTCGGGGAGCTTTCCATTCACTTTCTTATGTGTCATTAGGACAAGGACTGTCAGGAAACCTCCAGGGGTACTAACCCAAACCCTGGAGAAACCCTGCAAATGACCCATGGATCTCTAACATGTACTCACTTCTCTGTCTTAGGGATGGACAGGTCTTTGGACCCCAGGTGTCCAGCCTGCCTAAAGAAAATGACGGCTGGTGTTGTTTTCAATTACCGCTCTTTTTTTCAACGAAAGCACAAGTTCCCTAACTGCTTTAATGAGCCCGCTGTCCCTGGATGCTGAATTGTACAGTCATTTGTCCATCCGTATCCTCTATACCTTTATTGTACTGTTCTTGGTGTACTATGTTTTACTTGATTGATCAGTTTTTTTGGCCTGCACAATAGAGCTACTGAACGCTGCTTTCAACTCCAAGCCCCATTTATTGACGTGTCAATCCATGGACTTTTAATGAGACGTGCGCAGGTACTTTATGGACAATGACGAGTGATCTGGTGCAAGATGCGATGAAATTTAAACAGCCACTCCACCCAGCCCTTCACCCTGAGGGAAAAGTAAAACAGGCATACATGCAGTACCTTTTATGTGTGGTCCTAAATAGATCCTCTATATAGGTCCTCTTACCAGGTCCCAAATATGTTCAGAGCACTCCTGTCTAACCGCTGGCTGGTATTTATTTTTGTTTACACAGCACACACTAGTAATAACCTCATGAGTACCTCTACATTTGCAATTGATTATTGGGTGCAGTACAGTCTTTGAGCCAGCAGGAAGCGCTGCTTATATTCGCAGTCTACTCTAGTAATCCAGAGTAGTATAGAGAGCATCACCTGCTGGCTGAGAGCGGTTCCTGCAGCCATATATATTGTTTCCAAAGCCAATGTATGCTTACTTTGTATAAAGTTGTCATGAAAATAGATGTCTGTTCCTATAAATTTACTTGCAATCTTGAATGTGTGTTGTGATGGATTGGATATGGTTTTGTACCACTGATTAATGTGATAGAGGGTTGTTTAATGGCTTTGTATTTTGGATTTTTTTTTCCCCTGGGTTTAACACTGGCAGCCCACAGTGGATTACAGTCTAATAATCCAACTACACTTACATGGACACAGTGAGGCCAGTTAGGTTGAAAGTGGTCCCTTCATACGGCTAAATTCCACACTGCAGATTGAACATGATTCCAGTTGTACAAGGCAAGAAGAGTAGCCACTCTGTATTACACTGAGAGTTGTTGAGGCTTTTTGGCAAGGGATGTCTCAAGCTAAAGCAGGCCATAGATGATACAATTTTCTGTCCTTCCTCTACAGGTTGCAGGAAGGAAAATTGCTGTATTTCCCCCATCAACACAGTCAATGTTAATGGAGAAATGCCTCCCGTGGAGCTGTTGTCTTCTGCCGGTGGGGATCCTTCCCTGCTGGCAGAACACAATGATCACTGCAACTTTACATGAAAATCGCTGTACTTCCCCCATCAACACAGTCAATGTTAATGGAGAAATGCCTCCCGTGGAGCTGTTGTCTTCTGCCGGTGGGGATCCTTCCCTGCTGGCAGAACACAATGATCACTGCAACTTTACATGAGTTTAAAACCTATTAGAAATAAAAGCAAAAAATAATTTGTATAGAAAGGGCTTCCGGAGCTGTAACATCACAGGAAAAAGGATTGGATTAACTTGTATCCATTCCAGCATAATTCTGCCGGCAGTAATCGCATGCATGAATCTGATAGGCTGGTTGTGCTGAAGTCAATTGATGATTCAACTTCAGTACAACCAGCCTGCCTAGAGAGCAGTGGTTCTCAACCTGTGGGTCGCGACCCCTTTGGGGGGTCGAACGACCCTTTCACAGGGGTCGCCAAAGACCATCAGAAAACACATATTTCCGATGTGTAAAGAGCAGCTACTGTGTAGAAAGCAACTAGTGTTGAAAGCAGCTACTCTGTTAAAAGCAGCTACTGTGTAGAAAGCAGCTGCTGTGTTGAAAGCAGCTACTCTGTTAAAAGCAGCTACTGTGTTGAAAGCAGCAGTATTGGAGGTAAAACGACACTCATGAATTATAATTACTGGGTAAATAATTTTATGGTTGGGGGTCACCACAACATGAGGAACTGTATTAAAGGGTCACGGCATTAGGAAGGTTGAGAACCACTGCTATAGAGGCATTGAATCTTGGCCGATCCCTGCTGAACCTGCCGAGATTCGATCCATCTATGGTCGGCTTAAGTCAGCCTTTGTCCCTGCTCTGGACAGGTTAGTTCAAACTTCCCTTTGTTCCTCACTTGTTTTTGTGTAGGATTTCAAGGCATGCTCAATTCATCTGGGAGATACATTCCTACCAATGCATTCTGAGTCCTCCTTGCCTTGTTCAGCTTTTTACAAGATAGCCATTTCTCCATGTGAATGAGCCGTGGCTTCATTGGAGGGCGCTGCCTGAGCTCCATCCTCCTTGCCCTATCATGGAGAATACACCCAGCAATTTGCTGTACGCCGCTTACATTTGTCACCCTAATAGCCCATAACCCTTTGCAATAGTTAATGTAGATTGGGCGCCAGAGAACAGTCCAAAAACTCTGATCATATCTTCCCATCACAGGTTGGTACAAAATATGCTAAATGAAGCCATCCATCCAAAACTGAAATTTTAAGGCTGATTAACCCCATAGCTGTCATATTAGATCTCCCAATCTCTCTGCATGACTGCACACATCTGCCTTTCCTCTGTAGTCTACACGTAGAACTGATATTCTATTTAGAATGGCAAAATACAGATTCTTTATACAAAATCTCTACATTCTTCTTTTCAAAAATACCAAATACATTCTTCCTGTGAACATAGCCCCATACGGCTTTATGTGTATATAATGTGTGTATGTATATAATCTATATACACTACGAAATCAGTCATATTTTTGTAGCTGTGTTCAAGAAGCAGATAAGTGGCTGCTAGCCCACCGATAAGGTAGAGCTTTTTTTTTTTTTTTCTACGAGCTATTTTGTGGAAGCTTTTTTGATAAGATGTAAAGAGCGAGGATGCGCAGTAGTCCGTAGGTTATAAGAGAATAATTCAGATTGCTTTAGG